TAGCTCTCCCTGTCTGCCTACCTGCAAGACCGCCCTCCCAGGATCCATTCGCCACATGCACCTGCTTCAGTGATCTTTTCCAAGCACAGCTCTGTGTCCTTGCCAACCTAACCCTCAGACCTTGTCCGAACTCGTCAGCATGGCATTCCAGGCCCTCCGAGAGCTGCCTCGGCCTCTTTAGCAGCCTTGCTCATTTTGTTTTTCCATATCCCTCAAGCATACCCTCCGCCGCAGTCATGCCAAGCCCCTCTGTTAGAAGGTAGGAAAGGCAGACTTTGAAGGTGGAGGGAAGAGCTGGGCAGCCTCATGAACAGAGGCATAAGGGTGGGGCTGAGCCCAGAGTGGAGGCCAGCCTGGCCGATGAGTCTGCCAAGTCTCACTGGAGCAGGATTCCTCCAAAGGCCCACACGGGGATTCGCAGAGTCCTGGAGGCATGTTTCTGCCCCTTTCCAGTCTCAGGGGAGAAAAGAACAATACAGACCAAAGGACACCACCCCAGTACGGCACTGTGATTCCTAGGAGGGTCGGCGAGGACCAAGTATGACAGGGAGCTGGGGAGTAAGACAGAGAGAAGCCGCCCAAAGGAGAGGAAGGAAAGGAACAGGGGGACCAGTTTTCATCTGAGTGACCGTGACATTGAGTCTCAGTTCCCGCATCCCTAGGTGGGCACTTATATATAAAATTATATAATTATATATATAGATATAGGCAACACCTACTACATAGCTGCAAAACATTTTCATTGCCTTTTTTCTTAAGCATTTCCTAATACTTCACTAGGCATGATGCAAATGAGATTAGAGTTTAAGAAGTCAGATGCATCGCAGGTTACGCGCACCATAGCCTCCTCAACCTGGCTCTGCTTCCTCCCCCTGCCTCCGCCAGTCCGTGGTCAAAACAGCGGCCAGGGGAGCTGATTAAAATACAACCAGACCATGCTGCTCTACTCAGAACCTTACAGTGGTTTCCCATCTCCCAGTAAAAGTCAAAGTCCTTAAAGGAGCCCACGCTCTTCCACTGCTCTGTCCCCTCCTGGCCTCCTGCCTCCCCCCACTCCCTCCCTGCACCCCTTGTTCTTTCTCAAACAAGCCAGGATGCTCCCTAGATATCTGTGCACCTGTTCCTCCACCTCTTTCTAGTCTTCATTCAGTGGTCACCTTCTCAGCAGGACTGTCCCTATTGCCCTTATTTAAAAAAGTGCAAGCCCCTCCCAGCCCCCTCCCTGCTCTGTGTTACTCTTGAGCACCCTCACCATCGGACACACTCTGTATTGCAGCCTACCCATTTATTCTGTTTACGGTTTACCTCTCGGCGCTTGAACGAGAGTTTCATGAGGAAAGGGGTTTTGATTTGTTCACTGCTGTGCGCCCAGGCTCCACAACAGTCTCTACTGAATGAACAAATGATTTAAGTGTTGGTCGCTGCAGGTATATTCCAAGACTGATCTGATTAGAGGCCCATCAGTACCAGGCATGGGAGTCACCAGACCAAACAAGCTTTATCAGTAATGATATACATTCTGGAATGTTGTCACACACAAGGCTTTGCGCAGGTGAGCTGCACCCTGAGCCGGCTGCAGCCAGCCCCTGTCATCAGAGGCTTCACAGACACAGAGAAACAGAGGAAGCAAGCATATACCACGACTCCATGGAGCACTGCCAAATATATGCTGGGAGAGCCTCCAGGGTAGGAGACATGAAGCTGGGGCAAGGGTATTACTGATTACGTGAAAGAACTGTTCTCCAGGTCAAACAGCGGAATCGGAATCTATAAAGGATTGCTTTCTTAGCGTGCTGAAGAAAATTATTCAGAATGAATAAGCTTATAACATCTACTTCCTTTCCTGAAAATCTGCAAGGTGGAAATCAGGTTTTTCAAATGGCTGAAATAAAGCAGGTCCTGGACAGAAAGCTCCAGCTCTATGTTGTGAATGGGGTGAGGGTTCCACGAATGCTTCACCAACACGATCCACACAGTCCCCGGCATGATTTTTCAACTCCACAACGGTGTGAAAGCGATACGTGTGCATAGAAACCGGACTTCAAATTTTTGAATTTTGATCTTTTTCTGGGCCAGCGAGATGGGGTACGATCCTCTCTTGTGACGCTGGGCATGGCAGCCACGTGACTGCGAGGGTAAACAACCAACACACTCGCAACCATTCTGCACCCCACAACCACCGTTCTTCACTTTCTCTACAGCGTTCAGCAAATTACGTGAGATATTCAACACTTCTTTAAAAAATAGGCTTTGTGTGAGATGATTTTGCCCAACCGTAAGCTAATGTAAATGCTCCGAGCACATTTAAGGCAGACTAGGCTAAGCCATGGTGTTCAGCAGGTCAGGTGTATTAAATGTATTTTTTGAATTATGATATTTGATATTTTCAACTTACTATGGGCTTATTGGGACATAACCCCATCCTAAGTTGAGGAAGATCTGTACGTGAAATGATCATTAGTGGGTCACTTGAATCGGAATGCTGTGACACAGAATTTTTACACACAGTGATTCTGTTGGACAGAATTCTCAGTTGGAGCACAAAAATTCTACTCTTAGAATTTCTGCCTGTTAAACGAATTGAGAAGCAGGCTATGGGACACAAAACAAAATGGTTAATCCTTCCCGTATCTTCGTTATTAAAAAAATGCTCTTTAACTGCATTTCCCCTCACATCCTAGGTCTTGAAAAAATCAGAGGCTTCAAGCTGGCTCATAAAAACCTTTGCCCCTCACTTCAAAAATCAAAATATTTCAAAGTGTCAGGGCTGCTGAATTAGAGCCAGGACCAAACATTTTGATGGCTATAATCAGAAGATGACATTCTGTCAGGGTAGTTAATAAATTTCTTCTTCTTAAAAAAGGTCCAGAAAGGAGGCTGCACGAGAGAGCTTGTGATTTCCTGTATCAATTAAGACTTTTAAAATAAACTCTCTATCAGTTTAGATATGGACTCAGCCTCACTGTTGTAAGTTAGCTGGAATTTCATTCTGGTTCAACAACTGAGCTCGTGCAGACAACACAGAGGTATGCTTTCCACTCACACACAGTGCTCTGGAGAAAGAAAAGAAAAAAGGAAGACCTCGGGAGGTGCCTGTGATGGGCACACTGGGGATGGCTCAGGCTTGACACTTTTCGGACCAGGAGCGGAAACCCTTAGGATAGCCCCGTGTTGCTCCTGGAGGAGCAAATGTCCAGAAAGACTTCAGTGGGGGCACTTGACATTTTTATATGGTGGTTTCTCTTTCTTGAGAAGAGTGTCTGAATCAAGCTCCTGTGCTTCACCCAGATTAAAAACTGTTGGAAAGTGCCCTGCTGCCAAAGGCCAGATCTGCAAAATGGGCATGTAATTCCTCTTGACCCTGAAGCTGTATTTTTCAACAGGTTCCAAAGGCCAGGGAACAACTGCTCAAAATCCTTTCCAAACCAGCCTCCAGTGAATGGGTACATTGAAGTGTGGTATGCAACACTTGGTTAATAGGTGAGTATCTTTGGAGAACTCTAAGGCCAAAAAGGCAGCATTATTTCACTTTCACCAGGAATTGGGAGGGAAATGTTGGCCCTGAGTTACCCAGTAACCATCCTTAAGAAGGGCCTAACAATTAATTCTGGACTTTTACCACTAGGGAAAACAAACAAGGCCATCTCATCTGTTTGGACGCAGGGAAATCAATTCACTCTCTCTGAGGTATATTATTTAAATGTAGCGGGGGCAGGATAAACCTTCCCTAAAGACACCTAAGCCACTTGGCCCTTGGGGGAAATAGAGTTAAGCAGATAAGAAAGACTTGCTTCTCTACTTTTCTCCTTTCCTCCCACAAAAGGCCTCTGTAAAAGCAATTCCAAGATGTTATTTCTTCACTAGAAGCCTGACTTTATTTTGCACAGGTTCTGGAGGAGCAAATCTGACTCTGAGGATTCCGTTAACTTCCATAGGCTTTTGTGGGGTAGGGCATCAGGTGTGGGAGTAGGCAATGCCAAATATTCTGAGAGTCAGAAGCATCCCTGGAGAAGGCGCATGAGGTCGGGAGGCTGCCACCCCACCCCTTTTCAGCAAACCCAGATCGTGTTTCCAAAGCAAGGTGGGGACTTCAAAGGAATCTCACCTGCTGGGTAGCTCCACCTGTGTGAGCTCATAGAGGAAAGGAGAGAGACTCCAGCCCCAAAGGGGTGCATCCCAGAGCCTAACTTTTAAGACAGGCAAATTGGCAGAAATTCATAATCTAAATAGGAACAACTCCATACCTCTGAGCAATGGCTCAGACATCTGCTTAGTACAGTAATCTGTCAGGAATGAATCATTTAAATACACCCTTGTTTAAAAACACGCAAATAGGACTTAAAAATTATTTTCAGAAAAACAATGTGGAGAGCAAGGTAGCTCAAGGAGGCTATTTTGGCAGATTACCGGGGTGGGAAAGGAAGAAACGTGAGTTCTCTTAGCTCTCTTTCCCCCAGTGACCTCCTGCAGGCCAAAACTGCACAGCCCTGAGTTTGGGCAAGAATTCGGCCCAGGGTGAGTGGCAACACCCTCTATCTCCCTTCCCTGGGGGCGGGGGGGCGCCATCCCTGAGGCTAAGGTGCCTCTTCCAGTCCGACCGAGGACCGTGATCCGCACTCGATCCCTGTCCCGGCAGCACGGTTCCGGAAAAAATGGGGGGAGCACACAGGACTGAAAACCTAATAATAAACCATGTTTGCCTCCCAACGGGAAGGACCTAGAGCTTCCCTTTCCCCTTCCAAGCCCCTCTGATCATTTTGGGTAAAGCAGGAGCCCGCAGCTCGTGGAGCACCCAAATGGGAGTCCCCGAGGAGCTTTGTTCTTCGCACGCAGACATCGGCACCCTCGCGGAGAAGCCCCCGCGTGGCTCCGAGGCCGACGGGGGCGCCGAGGTGCACCCGCGGCGCCTCGCCCACCCTCGCACCCGCCGGCCCCGCACGCGGCCTGGGAGCCGGGAGCGCGTGAGGGCGCGCGCGTCGCCCACCCGCCACGCCGCTCACCTAGCACCACGGCGGCCACGGTGGACAGTAGCAGCCAGTTGTTCTTCAGGAAGCGCCTGCAGTCGCATCCCTTCCTCGCCGGCTTCCCCATGGCGGGCGCCGGGGCCGGGAGCCGCCGCGGCCGCTGCTATTGTGCGCGGAGCTCGGCAGTGCGCGCGGGGACCGGTGGAGGCTCCGCGGCGCAGTGGGGGCGGGAGGCGGGCGCGCGGGGGAGAGGGTGCGCGCCGGTTGCTGCGGCCGCCGCTGTCGCTGTCACCGCCGCCGCCGCCACCTGAGACCGCGCGTCGCGCCTGCAGCCCGGGCAACCTCGCCGGCAGTGCGCGCTCGGCGCGCGCGGCTCCTCCTGCCGCCGCCGCGCTCTGCGGCGCCCGGGCCAACCAGCAAGGAAGGAGGGAGGGGCGGACGGCCGCGCGGGGGGGTGGGGGCGTGCGCCGTGCGCGCGGGGTGCCGGGGAGCCCGCAGCCCCGCGCCCGCCCAGCCTTCACCTGGAGTCTCTGCTTTTTTTTTTTTTTTTTTCCGCCCCCCTGTCCTGCCAGCCCAGCTTTTCGGATTTAGGTTTTCCTCGCCTAGCCCAGGTGGGCGGAGCCACTATGGCTTGGACCGCTCCCTGCACACCCCCTCCCCTCCGCTTTCTGCACGCCAGCCCCTGGGCACCGCGAAGCCCTTGCCAGTGGGGAGAGGTGAGGGAAACAGCTCTGTCGTGGGTGCCCTTTGCTCCCCGCAGTAGCCTCGGCTTTGCCAGCCGTCTAGAAAGCTTGAAGCCCCTAGCGGGAGGGGAAGAGAAAGTGCTGAGGTGGGGGGGAGCAGAACAGGACTTTGTGAGCTCTCACCTCTAATCCCCCCCCACCCCCGCCCGTATTATTAACTCTTCTCTCGAAGTAGCAGGAGGTGAGGCACCAATAGGATGGTCTGTGGACACAGGGCTTGCAATGGGCCCTCTTAGAAACTTGACTGGCTCTGTGGCCGCCAAAGGCCCCCGAACTGGGAGACTTGGCAGAGTAATGAGGTCTGAGCGCCCGGCCGAGCAGTGCTGGGTGAGGGTGGGAGGGCCCATCCCTAAGGCCAAATGCACTGGAAAGGCAAACAGGGGAGTTGGAGAAATCAGGTAAGTGGTGCCAAATATATTCCGCGAGGCTAAGTGACTTTTCGAGTTCACTTCCATTCTTCTACCCCATTATTTCACCGTCACTTAGACAAACTCTTTCCTTTCCTTTCCCACATCACCACCTCCGCAGCTCTAGGCGGGCTTTATGTCAGCTTTCCTAACATTAGGTAAGCTCTGCACCTCTTTTTGCTATTGTGGAGGCTACTGTGTGAATGGGGAGGGTGGGGGAGCTCCCCAACTGGATGATCTGATGACTAAAACCCCACAGTTAGAGCTTCATTCCTTTGGCTGAAATTTTGATGCAAGCCTTCTTAAGAGATTACAATTCAGCTTTATGAACCACGTACACTTTAGTATGAATGACTTTGTCAGCTCCTTTCCAGAAACTAAATTTTGAGAGAAGGAAGGATAGAGGGGTATCAAGGTCACTCTGTGCCTGAGCAGGATCTGAGGAAATGTCAGGAGGGAAACTATCAAGAAAGAGGAGATAGAGATAGCCATCCCCCCCCCACACAAAAAGCTGGAAATACTCAGGTGTCCAACATCAGAGGGATGGCAAATATATTATGAAACTGTCACGCAGTAGTTCATTATGCAGCTTATAGAAAGGAAGTTTATAAAATTTTTAATTGCACGAGATAGCATATGTTATGAAATTATGGGGGGGAAAAGGAAGATTAAATTGTGTATACAGTTTGGTCACAACTATGTAAAGCAAACAGAAAACAAAATCATATACTTAGAAAAAAAAGTCTAGGAGGAAATACACCAAATTTTTAACCACGGTTGTCTCTGGGTGATACAATAGCATGTTCGAATCTTTCTGCTTTCTTTCTGTATTTTCCCAACTGTTTCCCGTAAGCATACTCATGCCCATTACAGTTGTGGGTAGGGCTGTATTTAAGAGAGAAACAGGCCCTAAAGAGAGAAAAAAGTGGAAGAACTAAGGAGAACTTTGTACATCACGACTTTTTGGGGTATCATAGAATAACTACACCTGGGTTTTGTGGGTAGGATATTTAGGTTTAAATCCCAGTACCACCCCTTACCGGCTGGGTAACTTTGGGCAAGTTACGTAAGTGTTTTTGTGTGTGTGTCTCAGTTTCTACGTCTGTAAAATGGAGGCATTAATACTGTTTATCTCACAGGGATGTTGTAAGAGTTGAATACAGTGTTTTTAAAAGACAGTGCCTGGTACACAGCAAGCACTCTCGCTAGTTTTACTTGGAGTTAACATGAGCAGGCATCTTTTAGTCCCTCTCTCCTGCGGTGGCCTGCCTGTCAGGAACGTACCCTGAACTACTCAGACCCACAGGAACCCTTGCATATTTATCAAGAGTAATTACCCTTTAAAGTTGCCATTATCTAAATCTACCGCATTTTCACACCTAACGCTCATAGAGTACGTACTTGCTTTATGCTTATTTAAATCATGCAATTTTAAAATAGTGCAATATAAAAAGATGAATAAAGCCACCATGTATACACTAATTTTGAAATAATAAAAATCTCCTAAATTATATGAGTCAAGAATCTCAAAAGTTCAAAGCAGGCGGGCCAAGGGAATGATAAACTGCATTTAGGCTATTGCTCTATGGCAGTTCCACTTTAGCTGGCAATAAAAAATAATAAGCAGACATAATGCCCTTGCCATGTGCCAGGCAGCTTTCTAACCACTTTGCACACATTACCTCCTTTGATCCTCCCAACGACTGAATGCGGTAGGGACTGTTGTTATACCTCATGGGACTCTTGGAAGAATCAGGTGAGATACTGTGTGTCATCATCATCTTCCTCTTACAGCTGAAGAATCTGGGGCACATAGAAGGTAAGTAACTTCCTTCAGTTCCCTCGGTTGGTAAGAGGACCATCAAGGTGAGCTAGGTGGTCTGGCTCAAGGTGAATGCACCAACTCTGTGCATGAAACCAGCGCCTCTTGTACGAGGAACAAATACAGAATTGTTACGGGGAAATTACTTAAGTTACTTTATGTAAGATCTTCAGGAGTCCATCTGTCTGAATCCAGGAGACATTAGGGGGTCTTGAAGTGCTGTGCTCACATGGAAGCTGCCTACATTTTATGGGGCGGGGGCTGAACTCTTGAATTCACTCTCCATTGCTACACTGGCACCTAATTCTATGATTTCTTTGCCTGAGATAAGCATTGCTTATGGGTAGAGGAAGCATCACTTTGCGGGGGGAGATGGGAGACCTAGGACCTCAGTTTTATTTTTTTAATTTTCATCGCCTGTGATAGTCATGGATGCAAATGATCTCAAATTGAACTAAAGTTAAGTGGCATTTCCCTTGTAAGCTCTCCCTGAGGGGAACTTGACCACTAGGTCTTGGAACAAAAACTTCACCCTCCCAGGGTAAGAACTTAAAGCCAAGTAGAAAGAATTGTTAGGGTTTGCCCCCTTCCAATAGGTGTTAACATCTCCTTTTTTCCAGACCCCTCAAACTCCTTCACCCTGCTGATACCTTTAGCCATTTCTTAATATATTACGTTTTGCCAGTGTGCTTCTTTTTTTTTAAATTTAAGCAACTCTGGTATTTCTTTTACTGTTATTGTTTCTTTTTTTTCTTCCTCAATTATTGACTCATGGACACTCTTGTTATTAAAGAAAAGAGACTTTGACTTTGCCATCAAGGTTACATCATCAGGTGACAGCGTGGGCTTATATATTACTTGGGACAGAAATGAAAGGCATTCAGAGACAAAAACTAAGACATCAGCTTCTGATCACCTCCAGAAATAGTATGCTGGTTGCATTCTACCATCATAAAACATATGCAGTTGGTTGCTTTGTCCTCATGCTGTGCTAATGGGGAGAAGGAGGTCATGGGGTACCAGAGTCTCCTTCAAGCATCTACAGCTGTGTGACCGATGGATGGTAAGAAGGATGCTGTCAGCATATTCACTCTTTTTAGCAATCTCTTCCTTATTTAATTCATCTCCCAATTATAATTTAAAAGGTAAAAGAACTATAATTCATTAAATCTTCACAATAATTCTCCAAGCAATATTTTATAAAGATGATTTGGCCTGAAGAGACTTATATATTATTTAGATGTCCTTGAACTCTGAATTCAACAGAACTTTGCCCACAGGCATTATTGCTTGCTTTGACAAACTGAAGAACAATTCTATTTCATTTTAGAATATATATATGTATACTATATATATAGGTATCTACTTCGTAGAAGCTTGTCCTTGAGCGATTCGTTTGACCCCTCTGAACCTCATTTCCTCATCTGAAGATACCGTGTGAAGTAATAAATACAAATGGCCGATATGTATTTGAAACATGAACAAATTTTCAATCTCACAGGTACTCAAGGAAATGAAAACTTAAACCAGTATTTGTTTACCAGTTAAACAAAGATATTTTAAGATAAAGTATTTTAAAATGTGTAATTTTAAAATTATAAATTGTAAACTTAGAGAAAGTATGTGGAAATGGGCAGCGTCACAAACTCCTGGTAGACCTGAAAAATGCTATGACTTCTCTGAGGCTAGCTAGGCAATTTGTAACATCTTTCATCAAAAGTGTTTGTATTCTTTAACTCAATCTTTCTACCTCTACAACTTTATTCCAAACAAACAAACAAACAAACAAAAAAACTGGTGGTGGGGGGAGGGCTGTCCATTCCAGTTCAGTTGGAAACAATTTCACTATCTAATAAAGTGGATTGGGTAAAGATTGGTTAAGTGTGTAAAGATACACTGGACAATGGAATACCGTTCAGGTATTGAAAAGCATATTTCAGCAGAATGTTGAATTACATGGGAAAATGGTAAGGACACACAACCATGTTTTGAAATGGCAAAAGTAAGTTATAAAACAGTGGGTGAGTTGTTCTTTTTATGAGGCTGTAGTCATTTATTATTTGTATACCTGAAAATATAAAACTTAAAATATGCATATTGTAATTACAATTAAGTCTGTGTGTGTGTGTGTGTGTGTGTGTGTAAGGGTGGTAAT